ACACACACACACACACACACACACACACACACACACACACACACACACACATTCAATTCAAAAATACTTTACTGATCCCAAAGGGAAATTAAACATTGCTGTAAGTCATATCAATTCAAATTTGTCAAAGAGGGCTGTGGCAGAAAGAATCTCCTGTAGCTGCCTGTATGCAGTGAATCTGAAGAAGCCTCTGACTGAAGGTGCTCTGTCTTCTCATAAAGAAAAGGTGAGGGTTGTCCATCATTTTCTTGATTTTATGTCAAATCCATCTTTGCATCATCATCTCCAGAAGTTCCACACACACAAATATTTTTCAAAATGTTTTAGGGAAATGTTTTTTTTTTTAATGACAAAAATCTTTTCATCACTTCATTTTTTAACAATACTGTACAACAATTTATTTTGAAAGCAGTAAGGAAACTTTCTCTGTGGTAGCAATTTATCGCCCACTAAGCCTCAAACACCCAGAGTATGATAAGTGGATTGTGATGGAGAATAAAGAACACATAGAGAACTAAAGCATTGTCCGTTTATAGATTCCCAGTGAGGCACTGTTTGTCAGGCTGCAGCCTTATTACTGAATGGATTCATTTCATTTCTACACCAAATAGTTACAAAGTTAAAAATATACATATTATTTGGTAACACTTTATTTAAAGGGGGTGAATAAGACTGACATTTTGAATAATGTCAACTTTGTATTAAAAGTGTCATAATTTACCGAATGACGCTTTATGACAACAGTCATAAATATTCATGAAGACTTATTCATGTTCATGACGTGTTATGTCATGTTTATGAAAGTGTCATGACAGTCTTATTCACCCCCCTTCAAATAAAGTGTTACTGTCCTGATCTTCGTTCTGATGTTTCTAAAAGTCAAATAGCCTGTGGTGAATTCAGTAAACTGAACACTATCTGTGAATGCCTCCCACTTGTTTCACAAGACCTGAGTTCAGAGCAGAGAAACCAAGTAATGAAGTCAGACGAACAGACTCCAGAATATCTGAACATGTTCTAATTTGACTTTCAAAAAGTGGAAACAGATTATACAGTTCAGGTCATCCAGTCCAGAACTGACCTATGACGTCACGTGGTGCAGGAATCTCTTCTGGTCGAAGATGAGGATCACTTAATGATCCGTTTCACTAAATTAATTTTAATAATTTTTCTTTATAGAATATTCCAGTCAAAGATTGACTTGTGAATGTAACGGTAAAGACGGTAAAATGGGGCTGAAACCGTTAGACACGTAAAACATGTTTTTCTCGCGCTAATGGTGAGATAGTTATTAAAAACACTGGAACGAGAGACAACTTCCGCATAAACATATAACTGAACCCGCTCTGCATGCCGGTGTTACCGTCCCGGTCCTCTGAGGATTATTCCCACCTTTTCCTGCTCCTGTCACCAGCGCCTGTTTGCCTGCAAGTGAAATCTCCATGTTGAGAGGTTCGGTTCGGCTGATGGCTGCAAATAGACAACACACAGCAACTTCGGTCACGTTTCCGGTGGATCCGTCTTAGTTCCAGTTCATTTGAACTGAGACAGTCCTTCATGTGACTGATACCGTGAAGAGATTTGTAGGCAGGTCCGGGTTCAGAAAACCAACCTTTAAGTCCAGGAGGAAAGTCCTGTTTCACTTCCAGGTCAGAGCTGCTGCTCTCTGAGCATGAGCTGCTGTTTACATGACCGTTCAACTAAACCCTCAACATAGCACATTTTTTTCCCACAGGTTCTGAAGAAGCTCACCTGCCACTCTGATAAATAAACAAAAGCAAAAAAAAAAAAAAAAAAAAATTGTCATAATTTTGAAATAATCTCCCATTATCATTTAGCAATCTCAGAATAATGAGGATAAAGTTTTGTGTTTTGGGCTACCACACCTTTCAAATCAACTCCATATACTGATGCGTTTAGGAATCAACAAATTGCTGATACACACACGCACACACACACACAAATTTGTTACAGCTTGTCATAACCTGACCACGACTCACTCATTCAGGGAATCCGGGAGGACGGCCATCCGTCTTGCCGCTCTGCCTCACAGAGGGCGAGAACTAACGATTATTTGATTGATTATTCTGACAATTAATCGCATAACCACACGTTCTGTGGATTTTTCATCCAAGCACTAAAGCTTATCGTATACAATATTTGATATACATAAGAAAATGAATAATTCGATTTTTTTTAATAAAATAAAAAAACATTTTATTGCCTAAGCATTCCTTTAGAGAGCCATTTGGTTTTGTTTGTTTTTACAGGATTAGAACCAGGTGAAGGTAAAACTGCCGCTCATGACTTCTGGATAGAACAGACAGTTTTGTGTTTTGTTTAGTTTTTTTTATTTTGAGTGCAAAATTAATTTTTTGAATGGGCTGTTCTTTCAGCAAATGGTCGTTTTTTTTAGACAGTATACTCCAGTTAATGATTAATCAATTCCTAAATTAGTTGACATTATTTCAATCATTGATTAGTCGCAATTAATCAGACTGCTTCAGCCTAGTAACTGTGGAAATTGATCTCCTTTAGACAAGTCTGTACGTTTTATTGGGACTCATAAACATCTGCAGTCCAGTTATTAATCAGTCCATGTCCTCTCTAGCCCACATAGAACCTTGGTTTCTTATCTTCTGCTTAAGTTTAGTGATATTTTTGGCTTGTTTGCATTGAAAAGTCACTTCCTCCAGCTGATCCCTTACAGCTCTCTCAAAGATCAACTCCTATTTATTGCCTTGAGTTTTCTGGCCTGATGTTTTGAAGGTCTGGAATGACCCTCACCATAGACTTCCTGGATTTTTTTAGGAATGGCCCTTCATCTGGTCCAGTGTGTTCTGGTGGAGTCTCTTTGAGGATGATAGTTGATTTCAGAACTTTGAATGCATCGCTCATAGGTCAAGCTCTCCAAGCAGTCATTTGCCAGAAATCTTCAGATTTACAAGAGATACTAAAAAATGTTTGCAGAAGTCAGTCAACATATACATCCTCAGTCTCCTGCTTCCATTCATCCAGTTTTAGAGTTTAATGGCAGGAAATGAGCGACCTTTTATGAACCCAGAGAAATGTGATGTCCACCTTCAAAAACAGTCATTCAGTCTGAAACAGCCAGAAAGATGAAGGCTTTAATTTTCTCCCGCAGCATATAGAAACACGAGTTAACAGAAACAGTCTGACCCACCGACCCGCAGTGGGACACATGCTTTTGGGTTCTAGTCTTCCTGTGCAGAGGTAGCCTGTTGCTTTACACAAAAACACAGGAGAAACACACACACACGGTGGGTTGTTATCTGAGACACATGGCAGAATCAGGCTCAGTGTGAAACAGAGGGTTAGAGCGGAAAAACTCCTGATGATTATGCTTAATAAAGCTACGGTTGCCTCTAACAGCACTTTAAATTTCAGGAGGAGGGGTTCTGTAGAAGGTTATGAGCAGTCATCATTTTACCTGCAGCAGTTAACATGTTAACATCTTCACTTTGATCAAACATATTATCTCTCTTTAGCTAGTGTCTCATCAAATCAGTGCAGATTTATAACTGACAGCATCAATGGTTCAAGCAAACACACAAAAAACATTTTAAACTCTCAACCTGTGATATTTAATTGTCTCTGTATGCAAACAACCTTTGCAAACATCACAAGAGTTGAAAGCAGCCATGTCCAACCTAACATGGGAACATGTGAAACAGAGATCTGTTTGATATGTCAAAGGAGTCAGAGGTCATATGGATCATAATATGATGTGGGAAATTCACGAACTGAGTGGAAAACTGATGAGCTCACCTTTCTTCAGACTACTTCAAAGAGAGAAAAGTTTTATATTGTCAAAGGTTTTGATAAACTCAGAAACAACAAGCCTGTGAGCGCCTCTCCACCCTGGACAACACACACACACACACACACACACACACACACACACACACACACACACACACACACACACACACACACACACACACACACACACGGAGAAGGGAAGCACAGCTTTAGAGGGTTCTAAGTGTTTGCATGAACCACAGTGACAAATTGGAGCTTTGAAGGTTTTTTAAGAAGAAAATCACCTTCTGTTTCTCTGACTAACCACCCATCTCCATTCTATCAGGTGAGATGACGACAAATAACTTCACCACAAAACCCCAGTATATGAAAACTACAAACAAACAAAAAAAGACAAGTACAGATTAACAATCTGAGCCATATTCATCATGTGGGCCTGATAGCACCAGGTCCAGATTTTACACCTTGATTGTGAAAATATGTCCTGACTCTGTCACTATACACAAAAATATAAAATACAGTTTATCCAATTTGACATCAATACTATAATACAATACTATATTCAACAACAGCTGATAACATAAAGTATGTGACAAGAGTGCAAAAGAAGAAATAAACTGGGAAAAGATATTTGGCTGAGTCTATAAAGGCATTTATCAGGTACATACTGAAAGAGTGCAGTGAGTTTTGATCATTTCATTTCTGCTCAATTAACATGTGAGAAGCTATAACTCATTTATTACAAGAATCCTAAACATTTCCTTCATTTTAATAAAACATTCAAACAAATGGTAAAAAAAAAAAAAGATTACTTCTCCTGCCTCAGTTACTGAAGGTTTCAACAAGCCGGTTATTCTATCATGTCTTCCATCTAACAAACATCAGGTGACCTGCTCCATTAAATCATAAGCTGATTCTGTGTTTCTTTTGCATTTACATCTTCATGTCCACACAGTGATTCTGAAGGCAAAAATACTGCTCAGCACATTAATGATTAATAATAATAATAATAATAATAATAATAATAATAATATGGCCAAAAAAACTGCAGGATGACCTTTTAAACAGGTTTCAGTTTAACTGAGTTTAACTCATTTTGATGTAATTTGTGTTAAAAAAAAAAAAAAGATGCAACAGGAAGGTGAATTTATCAGGCCCGGATCTTTTATCACCCTCATCTATGCATGTGTTCTTGAGCTTCTTCTGCGTCTGTTTTGCTTGGTGCCGTGTTGCCATGTTGCTTCTCATTCTCCTGATGCGTTTGGCCAGAGAGAGTTTCTTCATATCCTGCAGGTTTTCCAGGCATAACCAGCAGGCTGCTGTGACAGCTGGATGTGGGATTAATCCAAATGTGATCTGGTGACATGTGAGGCTTTCATCTCTTTCTGCCATGTGCATACGAATAAAAAACTAAACTCCTCTGTTAGTTGCACCCTGAATAGTTTTCTTTATTGCTTTTATGCCTGTGCAATCAGTGAGCTGCTGGTGCAGGCGGGGGCGGGGCTTGATGGTGATAATGACTAATTCTCCAATCCAGTGCTGGCTGAAAGAGCAGGTCCGGTTCTCAGAGTGGAAATGATAGTTTGGGTCAGTAAACCAGAAGATAGAAAATTGAAGGGTGATTGTTTGTTGTTTTTTTCCAGGTGTGCCTAATGACTCACAATTTGCACATTTTCCATAACCTGAATTTTTTTCAAAACGTCTGTGAGCAAGGTAAAAAATGAACCAGTCTGAGGATCATCAACAAGTATCCCCAGATCTTTGGGTGTTTCCCCGAGTTAACACTGCTGCTGGTTGAAGGGTTGCCTTGGCAACAGACATCAGGTGATTATAACATTTAGTCAGAAATTCTGACTTAATTATGGAAAAAAAATGGCATAAAAATATGTACCTACCATAGTACCAGGGTGGAACCAAAAGAACAGCAGATAACTAGCCGTCCATAAGCAGCAGAGAGGAGCCAGGTGGTCAGGATTCCTCCTGGAGGTGTTCATATCCCGCCGGACCAGACCCAGGTCAGGATATGGGAATACAAATGTATTCCCATATCAGAGAAATCTCTGCTGGCTTGGGAACACTGTGGGGTTCCCCAGAGAGAGCTGGACCAGGGGGCTGCAGGGCAGGAAGGCTACTGAGGCTGCTGTCCCCAGCCCTTCCCGGATCAGGAGGAATACAGCGGATGGACCATCTCCTCACTGACATGACATCAGTCCAGGAACAGGGAAGTTATTTTTGACATATTGAATTATTGCTGAAACACTTGGGCTGAGTTGTTTCCAGGATGTTCAGTTTGTGTGTCCAGGTTTTAACTTTGGACACCACTCAGTGTCTGGGTACAGAAGGCAGTGGACCGTCTTAAATCTGCAGGATGGACAGAGACACAAAGTATTGAGTTTTGTCCGCATTAAGTAGTCAAGCTTTACCTGTACTCAGCATGGAAGTGTGTCCAGTATTACCACGAGTCAAGGTGTGTGCATCTCTCAAGTCGCATCTCATGTTTTATCAGGTGTTTTAAAAACAACTACTTTCTATGACTGAAGGCTAAGTGAGTCAGTCAGTTTTTTTTAAAAACAAAAAGGCTGTGATGGGTTAGCATGCAAGCTCTGAGATCGAGTTTGACAAGATCTGCATTTGTGACATGTTCAAACTAAGACCTCAATACAGTCCAAACTATAAAAATACATAAACCTTTTTTTTCTTGATAAACCAGGCTAAATCTTTCCCGTTTTAGGTCAGTATGGATTACTACTCGGGTCGGCATTCTAAGGTTTGACCCCAATGTAATGATGGTCTTTACATTGGACTCTAGTCTGCCTTTTTCTTCTGCTTTTAATGGCTTCTTTTTGACTGAACAGCTTTTCAGGCTTTAGCAGCGTTTTGTTTTGATGCCGATTCGCTCCAGAACCCGTTCTGCTCTGGCACATGCCGGCCTGTTGTTCCAGACTGATGGAGGTTCATCCATCAGCCTATTCTCGATATAGGATTATGGATATCGGCTTTTGTAATTTTTTTATAATATCACGCACAAAAGCATTTGAGGTGTTTGAGGTGCTTTACAGGAATATTAAACTTGTTTAACGGTGCATTAATCTTAGTGAATGGTAATATCGAAAGGTAATTAAATGATAAATACTCACTCTCAATATTCAAGCAAACAGAAATAAGTTAGATTATTCTAAATGACTTAAAACAAAGTTTAACCTTATTTGATGTCGGTTTTTGTGTAGTGTAAATCCCTTCATTCAACTCCAGATCCAAAATGTCACAGCAGTTTAAAGAAACATCACAGCATTATCCATCTGTAGGACAAAGTCTCCCTTTGTCCTGCTCTTATACTGTAGCGTACATTCACTACAATCAGTCTTGCTGACTTCAGTTTCTTTAAAAGTTGTGACTGAGAATTTTACCATTGTTGAAGAGGTCCAAGCTAAGGTTTGCTACTAGCTTTAGCTTAATCTAGGTGTTAAGGCCCAGCAGATAACAGCTAAATGTCTGCTTGTTAGGTCCTAACTTCAGCCAGTGAAGAGCATCAAATATGATCTACCATCCACACAGACAGGAGGATTCATGAAACACTCAGTTAGTTCAGAGCTCTCCACAGGAGCTCAGGTTGTTTGGGAAACCTTCAGAAAGTCAATGCAGAAAAAGACACTTGCTGCTCACCTGGTGGGGTCTTCAGTCAGAGAAAAGCCCCCAACGATGCTGACCACGTTTCTTCTGTTCTCAAAGCCTCCATAACTCAAAGTGACCTTGTGAAAGACATGCAGAGAAATGAGAAAATAGAAGAAAAAAACAACAACACTGTGTCAGGAACACCCTGTTGGTACTAGACACCCCTTTGGTCCACTGGTCATAAAACATGTGGACACGGTCAGCAGCAATATTCAGTTATGGAGTCATGACATAAAACTGCAGTAAGCTGGGGTGTAACTGTACATGCCTCTGTTTAGTCACACTTCATACATTTTTTCTTAAATAAAAAAAATAAATACAAAATTAGAAATATTAATATAGATAATTGGATTTTTTTTAGTTAAGATTTTCTGTTATCATTATGGTTTTGCATTTCAAATAGTGGTCAGCATAGAACTGACAGAAAACTGGTTGAACAAACTGAATTTTACAGTAAAATGGACAGTGTATCTCAGGAAGCTTTGAATCAGTCTGCCAACATTTGATTAGAAAACGACTAAAGGGGTAGTATTGTCTAACATGAACTATTCTGAGCCCTATACAATTATGATTTTATTCCCTCATGGAAAACATATCTGGAGTGTTGCTTTGATTTTTTTCCCCATACTTGTTTGAGGAATCTTTGCATCTCCCGTGGCAAACAGTCAGTGGTACCTAAAGGCTTGCACTCACAAAGCTCCATCTATTTACCTAAAGCTCTTCCTTGGACCTGCAGTCTCCAGTGAGCTTGTGCCTCACACCTCCCCAACTCAGCTCCTCTAGACTAGCAGCAGCAATTAGCCAACACCTGGAGGAACTGTGCATCTACTGGGTTTATTAGACCAACTACAACACTCATAAGAACTGTTGTAAACGGCATCAATCGAAAAATATTGTGATGAAGAGCTGAAGGCAGAGTGTTTGAAAGACTAGGAGCCTCTTAAAGAGACAGCGGCCCAATTCAAGGTGTCACATACAGGTATGATGCAAATTCAAGTTTCTTTTAAGTTATGTTTAATATATGCAGCAATTTTATATCAACTGAAGGTTACATTGTTACTTGATTATACAATAAAATAATACATAATACCACCCGTTTAATCACCACACATCTTTCTCCTTTTCATTTTCCTTTAAACCATCCACTTGTCATATTCTCACTCATTTTCAGTTATTTAACTACTACTCCCCCAGTCCAGGTAGTTTTCTTCAGTGAGTTTTAGTTGCAGATTGTTTTTTGTCTTGCTTCAGCTGCTCATGTGGACCGCTGAGCCCATGCTCATGATGCCAGCTGGATAATTCCCAAAAATGCCACACGTTGCTGCAATGTGATCAACTAAATTGCTCTATGTGTTGTGCAACTGAAAAGTGTGCCTCATAAAGAGGCCAGAAAGCAAAATTCCAAAATGAATGAAATAGTAAGAGGTGCTTGCTAACTCACCTGATGGAGCACGGTGGGAACGGGCAGCTTCTGCAGGTTCTCCAGGTGAGAGTGGAACAGGTGTGTGTGAGTGAGTGTGACCTCCAGCAGCGCCTCGATGATGTAGCCGATGGTGCAGTCATCTGGGAGGCGGATCTTTTCTGCCGTGGTGATGAAGTTTCCCAAACTGAAACCACAAAATGTTTCAGCGTTTAGAACAACTCCACGTTTCCTGTTTAAACTCCACACATGTTCCAGGTGAATGTGTGACCTGGCTAATGACTGCGAATGTGTCTGCAGCGATTTAGACACTACAAAAAACAAAACATACAAGCCCAGAAAAAGTGTGTAAAGGCACAACTGTGGTCAAGCTCACCAGCTACCTGAAATACTCAGCAGGATTAGCTGATGTGGTCACAATGGGATTGCATCATCTGGTATTTCAGCCTGTTTGTTAAAAGGACCAAACTGTCTGAAATGGATTCTGTGTTTTAAGTGGACTTTGTGCAGCTCTGTCTAGAACTGCTACAACACTCTGTATTTCTGAACATGCTTACATTTTGACAACTATGTAAGCATGTTTCAAAATGCTTACATAGTTGTAAGCATTTTGACAAATGCTTACATCTTTCTGAACTAGATGTTCAGAAAGATGCTAGCCTCCATCTTTCTGAACATCTAGTCACAAATTATATCAAATCCTTCCTCCGAATTGCTATCATTCAACCCACCACATCAGTGATGCAGCATCCTCTGCCCTCACTCATCTGGGACCGAATGTCAGAATGTTCTTTATAGATTTTGATTAAACATTTAACCCATTCCTGCAGCAACAAACGCAGAAACCAAGGCAGCTTGGTTTCAACATCTGGCTCCTGGGCCCCTTGCAGACAAACATCCCCATGCAGAACATGGAGCCCCTCAGGGATGGGAACTTGGCCCCTTTGTTAGCCCATCTGGTAGCAAAGTCACAGAACTGGGTCTCATCCACCACAAGAACAGCATCTACTAGAGAGGAAGTGGGCCATAAGCTGAAACAACGGAGCGCTCAATGACTAATAGAAAACTTTCCACCAATCTGATGGCTGAGTAACATAAATAACTGATTAAAAGCAATAAATATATTTGCGGTTGAGTTCACATGTCTATTTATTCAATAATCTAGGAGCAAAAATGGTTTTGAAGGAAAGTGTTTTTGTTTTGTTTTTTTAAATCAATGTATAGTTAGATTAAAATGTGATTAATTGCAATCAATTAATCACAGATGCTGCAATTAATGTGATAAAATCTTTTAAAACCTTTAAATTGAGTCCAACTACTAGTTATTTTATCTCTTTTCATCTAAAATGTCACTTCATTACAAACGTTGATAATCATCATCCCATCTACTTATATTCAGAGGATATAAATGCAGTGTTTTTCCTATCGTTCTGTTTCTGATGATAATAACTATGTGACTGTTTGCCCACCTGGCCCAGGGGCTCATTTTCAGAGCCAGACCTCGACTGATGCAGAACCCCGCTCCCCCTGTGGCGAACCAGAACTTCACAGACATCTGAAATGAAGAAGATGGCAAATCAGCCAAATTCTGCCAGGTCAAAAGAGAAAAACACAAAAAGTCACTGCTTAAAACACTGGCCAATTCAAATCTGCTAACTCTAAAAAGGTTTATACGTGATGCAGTGAGAGGAGCAGGAAACTGAGGAAGGTCTAAGCAGACTGACCGTTCCATCGCTCTTCACCCTCTCTGCAGCCTCTATGGGGTGGTCCAGACTGGGCCGGCCCAGGTAGATGTCCTGGCTGTGGTGGTACGAGGACAGCAGTCGCAGCAGACTGGGCAGGATCACATAGTTATCATCATCCACATGGCAGAACCACCTGTAACACACAGAACATCAGAAACACACATCGGTCAAGAAAAGTCATCATCATCATCATCATCATCATCATCATCATCAACAGCTGGATATTTAGTTTACTCTGAATCCTTCAGACAGTCAGATTCTAGCCCTGATGAGACTCATGTCTCAGATTAAAAGCACAGTTCAAAAATAACCTTTAAGCAAGTATTAAACATACTTTTGATTAAGGTGTAATTTCTGTGTTTAAAAAAAAAATTATTGGTATGATCATATATATTCTGAACTTGAATTTCATGTTTTCATTGACTGGAAGCAGAAAATCATAGATAACTCATGGATAACATCAGTCTGTATGGAAACAATGTATAATCTGTGTTTCAGTTGGTGAAGGAAATTAACTGTTCAATAACATTCTGATTTATTGGATGGGTCTGTATTTTCTAATGAAAGCCCCAGATTCTTTAGAGCCGATTTTCAGATGGACGGACTGAAGCAAGTACGAAAAAAAGGAAGAAAGAGACAACGAAAGCCCAGAAATACAAACATTTTTTGGTACATTTTGAGACTTTAAAAAAACCAAACTCAAGACATTTTGCCACCTGGTAGGAACCCTGACATCGTATCTGTGTTTCGGAATGTGCTACTCACTTCTTCTGGGACTCGATGAATTTATCGTACTCCACAGACATCTTGCAGCACAGAGCCTGTCGGTTGTGAGCAGCTGAGCAGTTGGTGTTGATGATGTTAGTTCCTGAGGCAGAGACATCCCAGAATAATCTGGCATACAGACAGGCTGATGTGGTCAGAACAGCAACACTCTTCACTTCAGCTGCTTACCTGTCTTCAGCTGCAGCTCCCTGTCATCACCATCAGTGAATATGAAGGTCTGGAACAGAGAGAGGCCCCTTAGTGTGTTAGTGGGAACAAACAGCAGTTCACACCACATGTTAAAGGGCCAATCGGATCATCTGCTGGCAGTTATGAAATAATCAAAGCAAAACATTATGACTATCATAGGGTTCTTAGCATCTGCAGCCCTTTCGCTTAGTGTGCAAGCTTCACTAGCTGAGACATCGAGCTGCTTGCATGCGACTGTGGTTTTAGAACAAAGAGGCCACACAGTGCTGAATCAACAGAAACAAGATACTCACAAAGAAATTCACAAAAATTCTGATTGATTCTTTTAAAGGATTCCTCCTATAATAAATAACCATAGAAACAGATTTTCAATAGGAATACACTGATATGAAAATTTGGGCCAGTGCCGATATTCAATGTTAATATTGCTGTTATGGCCGATAACTGATATTTTAAATATTTTCCTACTCTTTCGACATTGTAAAATGACCACACCGCTTACACAGCTTCATTTAAGCTTCCCACAATCCTTTGCTGCATCTCTAACCCCGCCACATGACGAAGCCCCTCCCCCTCCAGAAACACAAACAGCAACGAGCTGGAAATGAATATCGGCTGTTAATATTGGCCCAGTTCTTCTTATCAGACCAATGCCGATACATTAAACCATGACTAACATTGATTGGCCAGTCGCCATGTTGATGCAAACATTTTGTGCATCACTCATTTTGATCCCGGTCTACTGTATGCAGAACAGAATCTGATTCTGTTTTCCATATGCTAATGAGAATGAGAGATGAGTTGGGCATCTTGACACGATGAGTTATAGACGATCCCAGATATGACCATTCACCATGGTAACCAAACACCAACGGCAAAAACATTGATGTTTGTACATTTAGAGACAAATATTTGTTGATTAAAATAAAAAAATTTAAAAACTCAACGCAACGCTGGATATCAGAAGAGAAAGGCTCAAACTGTGGACCAGCATTTATGAGATAAGTTAAGTTCAACCAGCTGTCGTGGAATCAGATGTTAATAATTTCTTTAATTGCTCAAATATGCGATCCCTCTGTGCACATGGAGACTGCCATAAACAGCAGTGGAAAGACTTTAAGTGTCAGCAACAAATTTTCTTTTTACTGCTGGCAGGAAGACCTAGCTGCTCTCTGCCGGTGTGAGCAGTGTGTGTTTGTGTGTGTTCAGAACTTGGTGGGCCAAGGACTCAGAGCACAAACACAACAAACTGCTGCTGTGATAAGCCCAACTGTTGTAGATAATCAAACATTTAAATAAAAGACAAAGATATATCCTGAGTAAACAGTAAAGTTTCCAAATGTGATTTGGTCTATTAAGGGAAAAGACTAGTCAGACCAACCTGTAAATGTCTCCTAAACCTAATAACCAGTTCTGCCTTTAGCAGGAACATCCAGCATCCAGAAAACTCCTCTGTCTTCTCCCAGTGCTCCCAGCCCTAACTAACAACAACCAATCAGAGCCAGGGGCTGGTCTTAGTGCTGGCAATCATCCTGGTGACCAAGCTGCTTATCCTTCCTAGCTCCGCCTCCTTTCCTCTCTGCTACGCTACAATTTCTTTCGGTAGAGGCGTGAGGCTTTGCTTTTCAAGCTTTTCCCGCCTGCTTCATCTGATCTGACACAAACCATTTCTTGATTCTACACATCAGATAGTAATCAGTTTAGGTTCAGGGCTAAATAACTTTTATCAGTTATTTAAAAAAGCTTTTTGAATTTATTCAGGTTATACTTGTTTGACATCTAAAACATTTTAATCAGAGCAAAAGTAAAACAAATCATAATAATAATGAGTAGGGATGCACCGACATCTTTATCCGATATTAATATTGTTTTAATGGCCAATAACTGATATTTTATACATATAGTTCTCTTTTCACACCTTGGAAAAAAGCAGTCACACAATGATTTCATCGCTGCTTCAGTTAAGATCCACAGTCCTTTGCTGCATCACTGTCTTTGTCACATGACCAACTTTCTCTCCTCTCCCTCCAGAAATAAACGGCAGCAAGATGGAAATAAATATCGGTTTTATTCATTGAACCGACACCGATGTTAGTGCCGATATGTTGTGTATCCATAAATATGAAGCAACTACTTCTTCACACCACTGCGGCTGAACAATTAAAATTATTTTACAAGCTATACAAAAAAAGTTAAGAGGTCCCATACAAAACATCAGTAGATGAAACATTATTCAAATTTGTTTGTACCATCAATGAGTCCAGCTACAAAATAACATCAGGATATATTGACTCCTTATTTCTCTCCAAATGGTTTAGCATGCCCAGCTGCATCACTCACCTGTTCCTTGGCTTGGGAAACCCAAGTCTGGAACAGCAGCTCCAGTCTGGACCTGTGGTACTTCCTGGTGGTCTTCACTGCGATGAAAATGTCCTTCAGCTCCAGCTGGTCAGTATTCCTAGGCCAGGATTCCACATTTCTCTTGGGAGAGGGAACATCAGTTCTAGCAGATGCTGCTATGACCTCTGAACTCCTACTGAGCCCTGCATCTGTGTTGGTGCCGCCAGCGCTGGCGGTACCTGTTGGTAGGTTGGCATGCTGCTCTGATGAGGCAGACTTAGCGTGGGGTCGGGGCTGAGGCGGCTCCAGCTGGCGGGGGGGCGACTGGAGGGCCGGGATGAGCAGCAGCAGGAGGGAGCAGAGAGCAAGAGAGAACAGGAAGCAGGACTTACTGACGCCCACCGAGGCTATGTGCATCCTGGCTGGCCAATGGGGCGGGGTCATCAGCCTCCAGGGCTGCAGTCACTCCCAACACCGTCCTGGGCTGGCATCATTCCATCACATGGAAACGTGCAGGGGCGGTCAGAACTTTCACTCAAAAGAACAATGATCCTGTAATAATAATACAAAATGAGTCGAACTGATCATGCAAAAAATAATAACCACTGTCATTTATTAATAAATAATTTTTGATATAAACTGTATTGTTTTAAAGTAGTATGTGTGTTCCAGCCACATAGTGCCATTTTTTAACACAGTGAAGTAACTATGTTCCCTTCAGTTGTTATAGAAATGCTGTATCAAATGTGACTCCAAAGAAACTTGACTTTGCAATTTAATGCCTTGAAATTGGTCCTCTGCCTCTTTAAAAACTCCTACTCTTTCTGAAACTCCGCCTTCCAGAATTCCCACCATAGGTTCCCACAAGTATGACTCGGAAGTGATCCACCCCACTCAACCTCCATCTTGGTAGGGAAGGCATCGCAAAGCACATGGAGGAGCTTCGCCTGAAATCCACAATTAATTAATTAATTACAATTAATGTTTAAACTGATTTGTAAAAAAAAGGTCCGAACTCTTTTCAGGAATATAAGATTCTGGTGGCTGGCAGAGTAGGTACCTGTAGTCACGTATGCGTATGCTACATGACCGTCTTAGCTTGCAGATAAAAGCTACATTAGCTGAGCTAATTTTGCTAGTTTGACAGTAAGTACTACTGTAAATATCACTGATATTTATATTAGCATTACACAGACGTAGGTAGACTACTCATAAATTGTTACCGAGTAATAGTTGTAATGTAATTAATTTATGTACAAGTTAAATGGGAGCGAGGGGAGAGCTAATCCTAAGCTTGTTGCTTGTTTATTGTTGTCATAGCAACTCCACTGCAATTGTCATCACAGTAGGTTACTAGGGGTGCACCGAGTTATCGGCCAGTCGAGTCATCTGCGCCGATTTCCTTAATTTTGAGAGATTGGTGATTGGTCGACACATGTGAAGTCGATCTTATCCACCGATCTTATCGATTTTATCTTATCAATACTGCTATTAAACTTGAATTTCTCCAGTGAGAGACAATAAAAGCTGTTTCTATCCTATTCTATTATATTCTGTTCTATTCATTTGAAGAAAATATCAAAGTAACATTCATTGTTGCTAAACAAATGAAATTATGGTTTTGTGGTTAGCTTTTCATGAGCAGCTTGCCATTTAAGCTTTGTTCAATAAGGAATGACAATACTTTCTTTCTATATCGTAATAGATCAATCCCCAGAACTTAAAAACTATATAGGATGAAATAATGAATAACAGAGCATAAAGTATATGTGTGGTCTAACTTTGATTAGTAGGGTAACGACATAAACTGTGTAGATGTGTGGTTGAGATACAAATAAAAATCTAATTTGAAAATGAGACCCGTTCTGTGTGAAGGAGCCAGCAGGGGCCACAGGAAGACATCATCCAACTGAAGGAGTCTCCTTTAAAAGTTGTGTCTTAGACGTCATGGGGCAGATTACTGGCTAACTTCGTTATAATAGTTTCAACAGATAAAGCTGACAGAAAGCAACTTCAGAAATTTGCCACCACAGTGGAAACCCCTGAAAAAACTTATTATTAAGTCAAAATAGAGTCCTTCTCATTAGTATAATTCTTCTTCTTGGCTACATGAAATTAAAGGAAGTCATTTCCGGCTCTTTAAATGGCGCTTTGGAGCCGCGGTAGCATGATTGCCCAAATAATCCCTTATCCCAACGAAGTAATGAATCCTGAGTTATCCTGGGCGCTTTTTCAGGTTCAACACCTGGAAGAGTAGCACTCTGAACAGAGACATTCACAAAGTGGAACAAAGAATATCATCTATCAGCAACTTACCTTCATAAGGTACTTCTGTTTTTACACTATTCGGAAACAGAAGCAGCAGAAACGAACCCCAAACAGCCCCTGTGAGTTCTAAACCGCGCTAAATAAAGAACGGAACCGGAGCCAGTGTGTTCCTTCAGGTTCTGACGGCGGTGCTAACCGAGCCCCTGGTCCCACACACAGCCGTCTGTCTATCTGAGGACAGGTCAGCAACAGAAAGACGTTATTCTTCCGAACTCTCAGACACATTCCTAAAACTCGAGCTGCATCCGAGGAGGTAAAGCAAATCCGGTTCAAACTTTCAAAATAAAACAGCGATTATTTTTTTCAACAAATAAAAGCAGACGTTTTTAGATGGGGATTGCAGGGGAAAGGCCACAAACTGTAGAAGGGTGGCACACTAAAATGGCAATTTCATCCAAATGCCCTGCGGTCTTAAATTACAATGAGCAATAGATTAAACCTACTTTTTGTCTGCATATTTCAGTAAAGAATTGCTTGTTGCTGCATTCAGTTAAATACAAAAATGCTGAAAACTTGTAACTAAACTGGCACAGCATTTATAATTCCCATGAAGGCTCTTCCTAATGGCTATGAAAGAGACAAAATGACTGCTAAAGCCCCTGTTTGCTGAGAACAATTATGAACCAAGAGACTCATGGAGCCAAGATGGCTTCTGATTTTATCTGCTGTTATCCGTTCACATGTGCCTTCCTTTAGGTTTTTATGGAAATCCTGGTTCCTCATTAAAGTCTTCACTATTACACCTCTGCCTCTGTACATTTGGGTTCTCAATACACACTAACATGACATTCCTTTGAATTGCTTACAGTTTGGTTTTGAGTTCCAAAGAGGATAACTGCTGAACTTCTTACAATTCTAAAATGGATCGATTGGAAAAAGCAACTGATGAAAGAAGAAGAGTACAAGAGTACAATGAAGAGACTTTACTTTGCAATATAAACTGATATCAGGTGTCTCATACTCTTATATGAAGCTGGGACTTCTTCAGGAAAGTTGTTTTTTTTTTATAACAACTTTCCCGAAAAAAAAATAATTCTTCTGTCAATATTTTTAACCAAAGAAAGAAAACATCTGGTTGTTATTGTGCAGGTTCTGTTTTATTAGACACTTTGCCTTATTATTAATGATTGATAGAAATCACTATGCTGCCTATAGACCTAAAAATGAGACTGTGCTCAGCATAGAGCTCTGAAGCAGAGCAGAAGATTACTTATTAAAACTTAGACCTCATGGATTCGATGTTTCCTACCTTGAGTCACCACCAAGTTCTGTTGATTGGCCACAAACAGGGCTATTTTCTGACATCAAGTTCAGTCTGTGTCGCTGAGGACATTTTAAAAAAGATCTCATGCAGCTGTTGTTTGAACACTCCATCTTTAATTAACCACAGAGTTCACACAGGTCAGACATGAACATCAGAAACCACAGTACATCAACAGGAACAGCTTGATTCAGTTTTCTAGACTGAGCAAATCAGTCCCACATTTAAAGATAATCTCTGATTTTTTTTACACCCAAATAGGATACAATCCACAATCTTGATATGAATTACAGTAATAGGATGATTGTGAGAAGATAATTTTTTTTTTTTTTGTCAAATAATTTGAGATGATTTTCTATAACTGAAGGAAGGAACCAACCATAAAAGAAAGGCAAAAAGAAGGGAAATACATAGGGAAGGAGAGAATGAGGGCCACAAGAGAGGAAGAAAGGAGACAAATATAAGAAGAAAACAGGAAAAATGAAGGGACATAGGGCACAAGGAAGGAAAGAAAAAGGACAAGAGAGAGAAAGAACAAAACATGGGGAAGTAAGAGCATAAGGAAGAGATAGAGGGAAGGAGAGAGGAAGAAAGGACATTCTTCCTTTCTTCCTGTGAATGAAAAGAAAGGACAGAAGCAAGGAACAAGGCAGAATATATGAGAAAAAATTAAGACAGCAAATAAATAAATACTTTTCCATACACTTATTTTCTTTTTCCACACATATCCAGGCCTGGAACATGCTGAAAAGAAATTTTCAAATCTTTTGGTTTCAACTTTTAACTTGTCTTTAGCTTTTAACTTAACTTATAATTCTAAGCTCAGAACTTTTGACTGATTTGACTGAGTGTTAGTCAGTGAACACTCATCCATTCATTATACTGGAAATGAGGTGAAATGCTGAGGCGGTTTAAAAACTCAAACATTACTCAGGCTCCTTTCTAGAGCCCTATCTGTTAACTCTGAACTGGGAAAACAAAATAAAACAGAGTGATTCAGACGTTCTCTCAACACAAACATGACTCATCATGAAAGATAAAAGTAAAATGAAGGAAGGCTGGCATTTTACGACTAAGGATGACAGAAACAACAACTCATTATTTCCATGTGAAGGCAGCACGCTGGAAATGTCTTCAGAAGGACTGTTACATCTCATGCATAACACTGATTTACTAGATGCCACTAGAGGGAGACAGAGAGCCGCAGTAGGTCTTATGCAGACAAACACATTGACAAAGCAGAGTGGGCTGGCTGGGGACTGTGACTGCACTGTGGACGGGCCTGGACCGGGTCAGTCATCGAAACGCCCCTCCAGGATGCTCTCAAATGAGAAGGGGACAAACTTGAAGCCCTGACCTGTGTAGAACTTGTTCTGGAACTCCACCCTGAGGGGAAAAGACCAGGCAGTAAACATATTTGTTCAACATATTAAAGTTAAATCAAGTCTAATTAATATAAAGTAAATGCTTAAAAGAGCATACATTAGTGATAAAGCATGAATGTTTAGAGGAGTGAAGACCTGACTGTCTGGTTTAAGCACATCTAGAGTCTTGTTTGTTAAGTAGTTTGCGTTCTAGGTGGCTCTCCATTTCCATTTCAAGCTTTTTTTGTCAATAAAAAAAAAAAGATAAACGTTTTATTTAAATAGAACCTGGTGTATTTTCCCAATGGTCAATCAGTCTGAGTTGTCACATAAACCTCAACACATAAATCTGCATCCTACTCCCAGGCGAGGACAGGGCTGGATGACTTCATTTCAAGAGGGAAAAGTCAAAGTGTGTTCCAACAGGAGCTGCATCTTGGCCTCGGTCGGCAAAGGGAGTGCCCAGGAATGTCTCCCAGTTGTGGCAAATATTTGGCCAGCCAGAGCGCTCAGAGGGCAACACTTAAAGAGAGGACAGAAATAAGAGATCCCTCTATCTGCTTCTCTCCACAGCTGGGGAGGTGGAAAACGGACTCTACTAGGTGTGTATTTGTGTGTGTCTCTGTGTCGGAGAGAGTTCCTCAGCAGTGAGTGTGAAAGGCAGACTGGTCACTGACTGCGGCTTTGTATCAACACATTTCCATTCAGTCATCTTTGTGAAAACAGCTTTAAGGATGAAAGAACCCTGCTGCAACAGACGGTGAGCTTTCAGTTACATCTACAATGAAATAAATGATTCCATATTAAATCAAATTATTATCAGTTTGATTTAAAAAAGCAAATAATTTAAGCAAAATTATAATAAAACAGAGTGACTCCCTGCATTGATGCTAGTTGGTTTTGACAGTTTATGGTCCTTTTGTTGTCATGCTGACCAGTCAAAGTGCTACACTAGAGCCACAATTGACCCAAACACATTCACCACAGCCCTCTCTCCTCCAGTGTTGAATGTGAATATATATCTGGTTGTATCTTTTACTATTCCAAAGATACTGACGCATTTACTCCACAAGTTTTCACTGTTATGGCCCAGCTGGACCTCACAGGGTTGGTATGCTGTAATGATCCTCCCTATCATTCATCCACCCTCTCTGGTACCGGGTGGTTAGTGGTGAGCTGGTGGTACCAGGAGATGATGGAGCTCCTGGCCTGTCCTGGATTCCTGTTATAAACTAACTCCATAGTATCTCATCATTAACATTCCTCATGTGAATGCAAGGCAGTGGAACTGGCAGAGGTTATCTTAGAAATGATACTTCAATCAAACTTTATTCATAAAACACTTTTTATGCAGTTAGGTAGAACACAAAGTGCTTTAGAGATGAACAAATGCTTGATCAGAACTGATGTGTGTTTGAATGTTGTGTGTGATATGATCACTCCTAACACACAGCTATTGCTGCTCCATAAGCAACATGTCTCTTCAGTATGTGTAAAACATTTAAGCCTTTGTGTTTTGCTCTGTCCATGTGTGTACTGACCAGTGCAGGCGCAGGGCATGCAGGAAAGCTGACAGGCCCTCCATGATGAGCAGGATGCAAACAGTGAGAGTGGCGAAAGCAGAGAAGATGATTGACAGGCCAAAGAAGCCGCCTCCACTGCGAGAGGACAGACCCAGGTGCATCACCATAGACCAGAGCACCTCAGACAGCTCTGCAGACACAATACAGTCATGTTAGCACCAGGACATGAAACATCTTACAGTGAGTGAGTTCTGTTCTGTTACAGCCCAGCTGTTCGATCACAGGGTGTCACTCACGTGCGTGGGCAAGGCTAAGGGCCCAGAGGCGCAGATAGGAGGCCGTGTTGGAGATGCAACCCAGACAGTACTCTATGGTGTGGATGGCCTGATGGACGGCCACATCACCAAAGTTAAACTGCACAGGAGGAAGCAGAACGTCACCTAGCACATAGCATCTCAGAAAAGGTTGCCTCTTCTTCTGGCTCATACTGAAAGCTTTACCTCAAACTATTTCTATGCTGAGTAAAAGACAGTATTTTTGCAACAGTTAAAATACTGTCGGAAAAATAAATACAGTATTTTCCATGTAACACACAGTTATTTGGAGCTTTTCCAGTGATATTTGTAGCCAGAGAAAGGTGCATCACTGGTTTTACGAAAGGTCCAATACGTTCTGTACTCCACAGGCTGTCATAGTGAATCCTCTCTGCTGCAGCAACAAGAACAACGGCTTTCTGGACAGTACATTTCATACTTCACAAGAAGTCGCATTCAGAGCTGCTAGGAGGTTTCTCCCACTGCAGCACCCTAACTTCATATTTCTCTGACAGACGCAAGAAAAAGAAAAACCTGCAAGAACTCCAAAATCAGGATTGCAGTTCTTGAGTTCTTGCATCGCTGGAAGAGAGAACATTCCTCTGTTCAGGAGGAGAAAGTGGAGGCCTTCAGAAGTAATCCAACATTTATATAAGAAAAGTAGGACTGTATCACTGTATTAAAATTGATATATTTTTAAGTTATTAGTACCCTAAAAAGTAAAAAGTAGCTATAATTTCATTTGAGTGGAGATTTAGATGTAATGGAGCTGGAAGCAAAGCGAAGCAGTTTGT